TTCTGCCTTGACAACCTGCCAACCTGGGAAGGAAATGAAACTCTGCCTTTGGTTACTATCTACGTTCGACTTTACCTGTTCACTAAGAATGGTTCAATAAATTGTGTTTGCCTTGAAGATTCCGTTTTATGAATCCAATAAAACATTATAAAACCATTATAAAGCAGGGGTTCTGACCGGAGGGCCATGGAGCAATATGAATATTATGACTTCAATTTAAAACTGAATTTTGTCTCACCTATAGTAGCAACACATATTAATAAATTGGATTATTTCCATCAAGGGTTCTTGTCCTATAGCTATTGACACCATTACACTATTCATAATAAGTAACCGAATCTGAAAAGATGACAGGCACTGAACGGGGCCATGGAGATTATTACATATTGGTCGGGGGCAACAGACAAAAAAAAAAAAAAAAAAAAAAAAAAAAAAAAAAAAAAAAGGGAGCCGGTGATACAAACTGATTAGTCCTTGTCCAACCATCCTCAATAATCATCACTATGATTGCCATTGTTATCATTATTATATTCTCGTTAACATTAATTCTTATCGCCATCATCAACTTTATCATTATCATATTCGTATTACTATTGTTATCATTACTATTATTTTGCTTTTTACTTAGCTTTTGAATAAAGTGTTTGACTGTTTATCCTCTCATTCTTATGTTTATCCTCTTATATACCTTTTATAGACTACGTTTTATTTTCAACCGAATCTAAGATATGGAGTCCATTATAAAAAAAAGAGAAAAAATGTGAAAGGCTTTCTCAGAAAGTGCGTTTTTTTCGTGTAAAGACTAAGCAGATAAATAATAATAATAATTTCACTAATATCATCCTTTTTAAATTCAATGCCTTTTCTTTTTACATTTCTACTGCTTATTCTTATTGCAAATCCTGTGCTCTAACTACACATTTTCGTTTTTTAATGAGATTTTTGACAGGCATTGTTATATTTAGATTTTTCACACATAGGGGAATTTAGAAGCAAAATAAACAGGCGGAAAAGAATTTCCATTGTTGGAAATGGAATTAAAACTAAATCAATTTTGTACCTTTATATATAAAATATATATATATATATATATATATATTATATTATATATTATACATATATATATATATATACACACACACACACACACACATATATATATGTATATATATATTTATATACATATATATATTACATATAAATACACATATATACATATATATATATATACATATACATATATACATATATAGAGAGAGATAGACAGATAGATATATACATATGCATATATATATACCTATATATACATATATATGTGTGTGTGTGTGTGTGTGTGTGTGTGTGTGTGTGTGTGTGTGTGTGTGTGTGTGTTGTGAGTGTGTGAGTGTATGTATATACATATATGTTTATACATATACATATACTATCCATCTATATATGTATGTATATACATTACAAAGTGTATTCGATATATATATATACATACATACATACATATATATATATGTATATATATATATGTTTATAACACACACACACAAATACACATACACATATACACAAATGCGTATATATTCATTTGTTTATCTATTTCATTTCTACATTAATTGATTTTATTAATATAGTTAGCTGATTTATCCTATTTTTCTCTGACTGTATGGAGGTATATGTAGAAATGTGGAGAAAAAACAGTTTCCCTTTATATAACCTCTCATCTTAACCAAACTATCAACTACCCTCTGCATCAGACCTCACTCAAGCAGTACTCTAGGCGGAAAGTCCCCAAAAAAGTTGTTCAAGGACGAGGGTTCCCCGCTTTACCCCACGGCTGAGGAGGCGCTCGGCATAGTATATAAAGAGCTGCATCGGCGCACCCCATTGAGTCTACTCTGCGTTGTGACAGTCTGCGCGACCTTCTCACTATGGTAATGTATTAATACTGTTCTTGTGTGACTTTTCTAAGCCCTGATTGCGCTTTTTAAGTCCTTTGTGAGCATTCTAGCGGCAGTTAGGTCGAAAATTTCGGTCGTACATGAACTGGTGTATTTCGTTAGTTAAATCCGACTTGTGTTTCGTCGTAATATTTCACGTTGGAAATATTACGACGTGAATCCAATACATACAATCCTTAATATTTGCGCCAGAGTTTGTGCAAGTGATTATAGTAATCAGTCAACTTGTATTGTATACGAATGAAAACCAGAGCTTGCTATATGATTTCTTCGATTAAGGAAGACAGTATCAATCTTATTCAGACACAATATCAAAGTAATTGTTATATGTGGACGGCTTTTTATGTATATGTTATCACTGTAACTATAATCTTATATGACACCAAACTGGTGAGAATGGGAGAGAAAGTGACAGGATTTTGGGTGAAAAGGATTAACAACTTCACAGTAGACGGCAGAATGAATAGATAGCAACGACAAATAAGTAAAAAGTTAAAAGTTTCATCGCCTAAAACCTTATTTGGATATTTAAAAAAATCAAACATTTTGATGGGTTGGTTTAGCAAAACAAAGCATATAGCTAACAAGCAATCACACAAAACATTAGCAATTCAACCCTTGTTTACAAAGGAAAAATATGAAACAAACAAGTAATTACACCCAAACCAATTGTTTACACACACACGCACACAAACGTAATTCGACCCCATTTTACAAATCAAACATACAAACAACAGTGATTCACATTCACCAAATTAGCATCTCACCACCTGTTTGCGAAAAACAACAAGGACAACGAGCCACACAAATACAAAACAAGCAATTCGTCCCCTGTTTGCAAAAAAAGAAAGAACGAAAGAATGTAAAACGAACCACGCACAAAAACAAAACTAGAATACCAACCTTATTTACAAAAAAAAAAAAATAAATAAATAAATAAAAAATAAATAAAATAAATAATAATAGATAAATAAATAAAAGATAATAAATAATTTTAAAAATATAAAAATGTATCATAAAAAATATCACTCCTCGTAAAAAAAATATAGATATAAATAAAATAGAAATAATAATAGTAAAAGAGCATTATTCATCTCCCAGCCCTTTCCCTGTCACCTAACGCCCCGCTCCATCGCCAGATCGCTCGTAGCATCACTCTGGCCCTGATGGTGGTCGTGGCCCTGTCTGCCTTGGCACTGGCCATTCCCGCACCCGAGGCCGAGGCCGACGCCAAGGCCAACAGGAATTCTTCTTCGGACATGGATTGGGTGGATTCGGCGGCGGCTTCGGTGGATTTGGTGGATATGGAGGATATGGAGGATATGGAGGATATGGAGGATACGGCTATGGACACAGGCCCTATGGATTTGGATACTTTGGCTAAGGACAGAAGCTGAGGATTCGGACGATCCTTCTCAACTCCTTCCCCGGTGAGTCTCGCGATGCCCTTGGCGACGAAGTGGTGTCTCAGTCTGTCTGTCATGTTTTATTTTGTTTTTCTCTCTCTCCCCTTATCCCTCCTCTTTCTCTATCTTCCTCTCCATCTTTCCTTATCCCTCCTCTCTCTTTCTCTCCTTTTCTCTCTCCCTGTCTCTCTGTCCGTCCGTCCGCCTATGTATCTGTTTCTCTCACCCTCACTTTACCCCCTCTCTCCCCGTATCTCTTCCGTTCTTACGAAAATGTACGATTCGCAGCTAATGACGCTATTCTCCACAGGATGCTGACCGCTGGCAGGGCTGCGCAGATCGTCACCAAACCTCTGCTTCTGCCTTGACAACCTGCCAACCTGGGAAGGAAATGAAACTCTGCCTTTATTTACTATCTTCGTTCGACTTTACCTGTTCACTAAGAATGGTTCAATAAATTGGTGTTTGCCTTGAAGATTCCGTTTTATTGAATCCAATAAAACATTATAAAACCATTATAAAGCAGGGGTTCTCAACCGGGGGGCCATGGAGCAATATGAATATTATGACTTCAATTTAAACTGAATTTTGTCTCACCTACAGTTGTAACACATATTAATAAATTGGATTATTTCCATCAAGGGTTCTTGTCCTATAGCTATTGACACCATTACACTATTCATAATAAGTAACCGAATCTGAAAAGATGACAGGCACTGAACGGGGCCATGGAGATTATTACATATTGGTCGGGGGCAACAGACAAAAAAAAAAAAAAAAAAAAAAAAAAAAAAAAAAAAAAAACAATGGGAGCCGGTGATACAAACTGATTAGTCCCTTGTCCAACCATTCTCAATAATCATCACTATGATTGCCATTGTTATCATCATTATATTCTCGTTAATATTCACTCTTATCGCCATCATCAACTTTATCATTATCATATTCGTATTACTATTGTTATCATTACTATTATTTTGCTTTTTACTTAGCTTTTGAATAAAGTGTTTGACTGTTTATCCTCTCATTCTTATGTTTATCCTCTTATATACCTTTTATAGACTACGTTTATTTTCAACCGAATCTAAGATATGGAGTCCATTATAAAAAAAGAGAAAAAATGTGAAAAGGCTTTCTCAGAAAGTGCGTTTTTTTCGTGTAAAGACTAAGCAGATAAATAATAATAATAATTTCACTAATATCATTCTTCTTAAATTCAATGCCTTTTCTTTTTACATTTCTACTGCTTATTCTCACTGCAAATCCTGTGTTCCAACTGCACATTTTCGTTTTTTAATGAGAGTTTGGCAGGCA